AAAGATGACTCCTGGAGATTCTCAACAGTGGTTTTGGTTTAGAACTATTTTCTTAATTTTCTTAGCTACCTTTGGTACAGTACAATAAACTTTCAGATATGATGACAAAACTTGCACAACCTTGATTTAGGTGGGTTTTTTTTTTTTTCCAGATGTTTTATTTTAACCTATAGACTCATTAATAAAGTCTAGATTTAGCCTCAGGTGAAAGTATAAAGCTTTGTGACTTACAAGAAAATATTTATTATCTGGAATATATGGAGATTTTGAGTTCAAGATTAAAGCATACTTAACAGTTATGGATACATGTTCTGAAATTATTCTTTACGGCCTTTGAGTATAAACATTTGTGCCCTTTGTACGTGTATGATTTTGTATCTGTGGTGCTTTAAACATTACAGTTAGGTGAACATTTGAGTTCTGGCACAAGACTGAGCTCAGTACAAGTATAAAATTACAAGCGTTTTTTAACTGAAAAATAAGCCTGCTTCTCATTGTCCTATGCAGTTCAGTGCTTTTTTGTATCAATAAAACTGTTAGAGAATTTAAATTTTTCTAATACAGTTGTACAGCAGGTATAACTTACATTTTGTTTTCTGAATACCTTTGAAAAGCAGGATTGTGGTTCATGATAATACTCTCAATTGCTGCTGCAAAGAAGTGAAACGTAATTATCTCTGCCTATTTTCCACGCTGTTTCTCTTTGCTTCTCCTTCCTCCCCATATGACTTTATACACACCTCATACAGCGTGATTGCTTGAACCGCTGCCTAGACAGTGGTATAGGAGGTACATACAGAGGGAGAGGAGAGGCTTTCCTGAGCTGCTGGTTCTCTTGCAGAGCTGGATGGTATGGACACAGAGGCTTTGAGCTATGCCCTGCTCGTGCCAGTCGCTATGGTGAACCAGAGTGAGGGGACAAGTACTCTGCTGCTGGACAAGGGCTGTAATTTGACCAGAAAATATCTTTCGGAACATTATTAGTGAAACCCTTTAGTTTTCATTATTCTTTTGAGAGATGTTGTGTTCATTTGAAAAAAGAAGTACTAGCATCTACCACCATGTAGCAGAGAAAAAATTCCCTTTAAGTAAAAAATAAAATAACATGACAGAATACCAATAGTGGAGAAAATGGGGAAAAGGGTAACCTTTCTCACACAAGAAGTTTTTAAGCTAAAGGAAACATGGTTCAAGTGTTTGCCCTAACAATCCCTTAAAGTCTTTTTAGCAGCCACCTGGAATGGCCACCGAAGAATGAATTCAGAAAGCCGGGTCCTCTGTTAGGAATGCCTTGCTTGTGTCCTGCAGTGGAGGGTTTGTCTTAAGACCAAACAAAAATAGGTAGTAAACTGAACTTGCCATGATGAGACAGGGAGTGAGATGAGCTCTCCGAACTAGTATTTGGACCAGTTGTCAGCTTTACTGATCATAATTAATTTGTAAAAGGGCACTTGAAAGTATACAGAATATAGAATATTGCAGTTGCGTTCCCCTAATATTTCCAGTTTCTCAGCACATAGAGGACTGTAAAGAAGCCTTTGGGTACTTCTTAATGTAATACCGAGTAGAAGTCATGAAAGAATCAGAGCAGAGATTGTTGGTCACAAGAGAGGTGATCAGCTGATGTTGAAGTGTTTGGTGACTGGACATGCATTCATACTGCTTTCATTTATGCTTTCATTTGCTGTCGCCTCTCTTCCCATTGTAGTTTTGCTTGGAGAGGATTTGTTTTAGCTTGTTTCTTTCTGCTTCCTTTCCTGTGAAAACACTAGGGAAAGGAAAACCAGATAGATTACAATATAAGAAATTTGTCGGGCGTTTCACACAAACCACCATCGAAGTATACTTTTCAATGCTTTGGAAGATCTTTGAGAGGAAAGAATAAAACCACTGAGGCTTTTTCTCCAGTCTACAAATATCTGTAGACAAATTTATTTTCTTGGAGAAGCTGGATCAGATTTGTAGCGTCAAAAAAAATTAGCAAGAAAGCTTTCCTGCTGTCTCCCTTTTCAAAGTGCCTGTCTAACAGAAAAATGGTAAACTGTGTCTGAAACCATGCTGGAAGGAATCCAGGCAGTCTGTACATTACTGAAGGATATCAAAGTTGTATTGGCTACATATGTCCTATTGGGCTTTCCTAAAAATCGGTGGTTGGAGACTGGCACCAAGTTCTTGACATAAGGGCAGGGTGTTCCAAGTGATAACCTACCAAGCTTTATACGTAGATTATTCCGTGTTCCCTATACATCTACTACACATCAAAAATTCTTCCTGTTATTCTCAAGTCATGGAAAGTTCTAAATTAATCAATATTCTCCAGATTCTTAGCAATTTCAGCCTATTTAATGTGGAGGTGCTGTTAACGCAGGCATAAGAGCACCTTGCATATGAGGAGAGGCTAAGCTGTCTACAACTATCCAGTAGGCAGGTGTGGAGAAGGCTGAGCCAGTCTGCTCAGTATCAAATTCTTTATTGTCCTTTCATCCTGAGTAGCCATTTTAATTTGTGCAGTTTGGTGTGTCCACCATATGGGTACCTGTACAGGTACCTGTACATTTTCTACTCTCAGCAGTAGCTGAGAGGAGAAAATAATTTTGATGGCCACCTTTTATATTGAAAATAGATTAAAGTAATCTATGTAGCCTTCAATTAATCAAATAAGTACTACAACTACGTATTTAACTTTCAGAATAGGAAACTGCATTCATGCCTGAGAACACTGTTAAAAATGTTACTGTCTTTTAAAATGAAATAATGAAAAATGTTATTTTTCTCTGCAGTGCTTGCTCTCTCAGCCAAAGTTCTGGGCCATTCAGACATCAGCCTTACTCCTTCGGACCAAGCTTGAGAAACGAAGTACTCGCAGAATGGAACGGGCAATGAAGCAGACTCAGGTAAGACTTCTGAGCTCTCCTGTTATAAGGTTCTTTATATATCAGATGGAAGTAGGCATAAGTTAGGAGCTTCTGCAGTGCCTCTCTGCGAACTGTACAGTGACATAATTTTTCTAATTACGTTTCTAAATTAGATGCATAAACATCAAATCCCTTTATCTCTGCCGGTCTTGAGATAAACTCTTACATGTACAAGTAATAAATAGTCACTTTCTTTCAGAAACATGACAAGTTTTGGGAGATCGAAATTAAAATCTGTTTTCTTACCGCTAGTTTCTGACTTCTGATCTGGGGAGTTTTTTATGTAGAAGTTCATGAATGTAAAGCTGCTACTGCTATCATCTTTATTTGCTTTTACTCAAGTAAATAATCTGTAGAAAACACTGAAACCTGTAAATAGTCATTGGTATAACATGTTTGTGAATAAAAGCAGCACTTTTGATTTACGGTTTTAAGGCGATACTTAGTGATTAGTATTTTTGTTGCAAGTTCTAGGCAGTGATTAAATAATCTTGCTCCAAACAAAGAGAAGATCAGTTTTCAAGACAGAAACTTTAAAATTCTGAAATGTGTCAGCTAATAGGGTTTATTTTAAAAATAAAATTTTCAAAGGAAAGGTCTGTAGGCTATATAAAGGTATTTTTTTCCTCCTTCATATTACAGTTTGTTAGCCATTTGTCATCTTTACATTGTTAAGTCTTGTTGTCACACGTTGTTAAGTCTTGTTGTCACACATGAACAGCAGGCATTTCTGTATGTCCGTCCAGCAACAACTCTGCTGACTAAAACAGCCAGGAATGTATAGAACTTTATTATGATTCTGTGTAATTAAATCCTGAAAAGCTGATGTTTCATTTAAAATCATTATTCATGCAAGAATCTTTGAAGGAGTGCTGCTTGGTTGTGCTGCTGCATTTTTCTTCTGCTGAGGAGGACATAGAGTT